TTTGTATCCTTCTCGAACTATGGGTGCTATTCAGACCAGGGTGCATTGTGATGAGAAACCAGCATACACTTTACCTCACCCCAAAATACTTATTGCACAAACCCACCTCCAGAGAGGAACAGGGGAGCCTGGCACAAGAGGGTCACCGGGAGTGGAAGGGAACTGGCATGCACTGTCTCAGCTACTGGCATCCTCAGCTGAGATATTCAGGCTGATGCCTAGCTCCTCCCTGCACTAGAATTAAGCCTCCTGCTAAGTACCTTGCGGCTACCATCAGCCCTGCAAAGGCACAAGCCCTCCACCCTTCCATCTCAAATGCTTCTGCACATTTAGCTCTGCCACTTACTTTTCTCCCCCTTTGACGCTACGAGGCACCGCACTAGAGCTGCTCTGGTCGCTTTGCAGTTGTTCCTTGCTTCTCTCTTCTATCTCCAGTAGTATATAACAGAGCACAAAGGGCCAATTCTGCGGTCCAGCCCCCTCTATGGCCCTGGGAGCAGAGCAGGACCATGACAGCATGTAAGAACAGAGATTGTACGGAGTTGTGCCCTTCTGTCCTGCCTAACCCTGCTCTGGATGACTGTCAGATGCTTCAACCGCAGCAGGTCATCAGCTCCTTAGCTAGAACACTCGCTGCAAAGCCAAGCGCAGCTTTGCTCAACACCTCACAGAGAAGTAAGAGGCTTAGGGGTGTCAGCAAGAGAGGCCAAGGAGCAGATGGGCTTCTAGAAAGATAAACGTGAGGTCCCTTCAACACTGTTGCATGACAGAAATGGCTGTGCTCCACCCCTCTGGGGATCGCGAAGGGGCCTCTTGGGCCAACATCTGGAATTAAACATCCTGTATCAGGCAAACAGAGGAACTCCACTTGTCTTGGTGCTTCTGCATCACACATAGGGCTGGGAAAGAGACAGTTACCACTGTGAAGGTTCTTCCCAGTTATGACCAGGGCTGGTACCTATCAGCTCCCATAGCAGGCCAGGGGACTCCCGCTGGCTTCTCACAGGGAGGTGGATCAGGTTCACTTCCCCTTTCTTGTTTAAATACAAAGTTTGAGAGCTGCCGTTACCTGACTTCCTAATGACCCTTTTCTGAAGCTCCTCTCCTCCGTGATGCTTTAGCTCCCTGTTGGCTGACCTGGATAAGGGCATGCTGAAAAACAAATGTATTTATAGTTATACTCATATTTATGTCTGATAATTAGCAAGTTTCACAGCCTGCTCCAGCCTAGACTTGGAGGCTATTCCTATCTTCAAGGGATATCATCAGGTTAATACTATTTAAAGAAGTAACTGATACGACCCCATGAGCATTGAAGCATGTGTCAGGTAAGCCTTGCTGTGCACTGAGACATTGCAAAGCAAGTAATGACAAGACTATTGAAATGAGAGAAATCTGTGCATCACCATCTTAAGTGCCAGTTATTTGAAACCAGCAAGGACAGTGACTGCATTGCTTTTACTTCCCTGCCAATGTGCTTGCTGTCAGGTTGCTACACAGAAGCCCAATACTGCATTTTTTCAGGCCATACACAGGACTATTTCCACTTATTTATTAAGTTACAACTACAAAGTCTTATATTAGGTGTTTCCTACAGGCAAAAATACAGCAGCTTGCGCCCCCAAGTTTGACCCGACCATGCCTTCTCCAGGTTTGCAAGGTTACACAATTGCAGAAAAGCTCGTCTGCCCTAATTCCTATCCAAGCCAGCCGGAATGGGAGATCTTGTCCCTACTCTCTTCCCAGATCATACTCCCAGGTGCTTTTCCCCACCGTGCTGGGAGGTAGGAGGCAATCCACAAGGATGTACCCCAATGCACAGGAAGCCTTGAAGTCCAGTGTGTATGCCAGACTCTACCCGGTGAATCAGCGCACTGAAACCCACACGCTGTAGCACATTATGGAGGATAAAGAACACAACACACTGTGGGATATCGTGAATAATTTGCATCATGTGGATGCAGGCATCTGATGGCTTTTATTGTCTGTTGTACCACACAATGACAGTTGTATAATTTTGCAATAAAACTTTTTCAGTGAACCTCTGGCAGCCACAGTCACTCGCAGGGTTTGGGTGGAGACAAAATACTCTTCAAAAAGAGCTTAGAGAGGTTCCTTGCCATCCTTAAATCCAATACACCTTTCTTAATCTGGTAATTATGGACCAAAATTACACTTAATACACAACATGTGAATTCCCATGACATCCGTGTCATGGGAAAGGAATGCTATTAGCAGATTGGCTTTTCACTTTAACGTTTTTCTCCTGAAACTGCAAGTATCCAGCATCTTTAATGCTTCACAGGTAAGAGGACCTACTGCCCTCCCCTGCTCTGACATTTAATGGAGCAGCAAATGGCTCAGTTAAAAAGAAAATACGGCAGCGTAGGAATAAAACTGAGCTGTTAGCCACAGGGACCAGCCGTCCTGACCCTGCAACCCAAAGCTTCTCTAGCTGGGATCCAGTCGAGATAAATAGAGGAAAAAGAACCACAAGAACCTGCACCATGGCCGTGGGAATACAGCTAAGTCTTGGAAAATAATCCAGCGCTGTCAGACCCTGCTGGAAACGGATTAACCGGCTGTCCATTCAAGCATGCCACTTTCTGCCACTCAGACAAAAGCAAAACTGAAGCCACAGACATCTCCCCTTTTCCCTGTGCCAAAATAGCACCTATCTGGGATGGGCAGGCACACACATCCACATGGCAGCTCCTCACAAACTGGGTGCTTGCCGGATCGCAGCCCTTCACCGTACAAAATTACTGAAGCCATCTCCAGCACTAACCATAGCAGCCCAGCAATACCACCAGCCTGGAATAGCAATATTGCAAGGAAGGGAAAAGCTTTCCACAGCTCCTGAGCTCGTCCTACCCCCAGCTCGTCTTGCAAGCAGCTTTAAATACTCGTGTTTTTCATCCTAGGACCCTCAAGACACAGGGAACTGAGGAAGTCCCCTACCTCTCCTTTAGCTTCTTCAAACAGCTCACGGTGGTGGTATACTCCAACCAATGCACGCTAGAAAAGTATTCAGTTCACACATGCAAACCTTGACCGTTACGGGATAATCCTTGATCTTGTCCTCAACTTCTCACAACGGGATGGATCTAGCAAAAAGAGAGGTACAGCAATACCACTCGTAAACGCACTACTTGCTCATCGCTTGATCTTACACACAAGCAACTAACGATCTCTTGATTCTACCAGTGATCAGCACTGTGAGATTAATAGGCTGATGGGACCGGGCTAGAGAGCTCTAAACCAGAGAGAGAGAGAGTTGAGTGATCTCCAGGAAAGCCAGCCCTCACTGGAGGATTGCAGGACAAATTTCCAGCTGATCATCATCTAGCATATAGGGATTTTTAAGAATTTAGATACAACATACAAGGCCTTGCACTGTGTGTCACCTTTCTACTGCTTCAGGCCTTCCAGCTTTCACACATTCCCTGCTCCTACAAAGTGACAAAGCTGGTCCAATTTTTTTGGATTTTTTTTTTTTCAAAATTCAAATTCATATTTTAAAAAAATAATAAAAAAAAAAGTTGCTATTACTTACTCTTAACACTTAACATGTAATAACTTTTTTTAAAGCTTTCCACTGAAAGATGTGCACAGAAACCTGAAATCAGACTCATTCTCTGACACCCTCGGAGGGCACATCTGTCTCTGACAGACTTGCCCAGCTTCCCAGCCAGCACCCTGCCAGGCCGGGTTTCCAGGCCTGCCAGTGCCAGAGAAGCTGGGAACAGGAAGGCTGAGGCTCACACATCCACACGCGCTGGCAGACAGACCAGCTCCTGACACCGTCAGTTTGAAATTCCCGTTCCTAAGTTAACCTGCCTAGCTCCTTGCAGAGAAGCCTCCTGAAAATGGAAATCTGGATGCAAAAGCTATTCCTAAGCAGCAAATTTTGCAGACTTGTACTATTTTTGTTAATGGAACAAACAGGTTCTGAATTTCTCAAAATCTGATCAAAACAAAGGCTTGATCCTGCACACAACATGATGCCTTATAATGTGTGTAACAGTCTCTTCCCATTACTGCATCGGACTTTGAAAAACACTCTGGGAAAGGAGCCGACAGAACTAGAATCTCTGCCTGAAACTTAACCAAATGCTCAGTCTCGCTGCTTCAGCTACAGGGCTTTAGCCTGACCGCAGCAGACAAGAGCAGCATCAAAAGTAATTCATACAGCAACAGAAGTGAAAACACATCCCTGCCTACAGACTATGCATTTCAATAGCCTAAGTAGCCTTGTCGTCTATTATCAACTTCAGGATCTACCTGTGTTATCCTACAGCTCGCTAAAGCCGGTTATTAATACAGTGACAAATGAATGGTCTACTTGAGCTTCAAAGGAAGACAAGTTTTTTCCCCAATTGCTTAAATATATTTCCATCTCAAAGCTTAGTACAGAAGGTTTGAAATCCAGAGTGTACACTTTCTCCGCCCCCCAACTAACGTGTAAATACCTACTCGGAAGTTTGTCTCACCCCACATCTCCACCAACTAAGGTTACCTGACCCTAACAGGAGCTACAATGTTCCTATACTGTCTATAGCCCTGAAAGTCACATAGTGAACGTCTTTTCAGTGACAAGGGAGATGGATATACAGAGGTGAAAAAAGCATTTAGTAGAATATAGAAATACTTCAGTTGAAACCAGAAAGTTATAAACCACTGCAACTGCTTTGGACGTTCCTAAAAAAAGCTCCCTCTTCTGGAAACCTCGGAGAAAGGGACTGGTATGTAACTGAAGAGTTACCAGTACTACTCCAGTTCATGGGGTGTTATTCATGACCCTCTAAACACCAGATTGCTGCTCCAGCTCTACCTAGAAATCAGCATTTTGTCCCCACTTTGTTTAGATCAGGATCTGGTTAAGTTCACTCCAAAAGGGTAACACAAGCTGGAAGAAACGCAACGGAATTCCTTCCATACCAAAGGTGGGAGCAAGGCTTTCCTGGAACACATCTTGCAAAAAAAAGCACCTCCACAAACACTGTCTTTTGTGATTTTATTAAGAGATGTTTTTCAGGACAGTCAAGCTTCTGGTTGCCGATGTTACAAACCCTACAACAGAAAAACAAAATACTGAGTGAGATGGTGGCAAACCATTTCCCGTAACCATTCTCCTACCCAAAACACTGAACAAACAAACAGGCTCCAAGGTTTCAAATTAAATGGCATCTCTCACTTCTGGCGTTTTAGCCAACGATCCCCCTTTTCCCCACCGGAGCAGATCTTGCTAGTCAGATTCCCTTGTTTCACTGTGGCCCTGCAAACTCCCTGAACTCTCCCTGTCCACACAAGGCTAGCTTCAGAGAACACCACAGCCTGGCTTTCACTAGCAGCTAAGGAAGTCTTCCGAAGAGGCCTTAGGCCCTGTGCCTCCTGCTGTTCTGATCGGAGAAAGTGAGCAAAACTTTTAAAAGCAGCAAGTTGCACATTTTCACTGGGAACAACCCAGAGCAGGTCTCAGACAATTTCAAGCTATCAACTTCTGCCTTAGAAGCTACTCAGTCAAGGAGACAGGATTTCAAACCTTGAGTATTTACTTACGAAACTAGCCTACATATTGTGCTCAACGTTACTGGCTTCTAAGTCTATCCCAAAGTGGATCCCATGGGGGGGCGGTATATGAGGAATATATACCCTGTGCTGTCAACTGCACACTGGTAGCAGGTGGTACAATGTGAAAACATCCCAGGCACTGAACCCTTCTCAGACAAATGCCTCTAAGTCACTCAAATTGTGACCCAAGGTCCCCAAATGCATGCTGTAGAACACAACACGAAACAGGGCACTTGGACAAGGACATTCCCTTTCAGACTCGTCATCTCATCTTCACTGAAGGGTGTGCTTAGCTGGTTTGCAGCATGCCTTAAACCATGGCCCCTTCCATCCAGGGCAATACTCTAAACCCAACTCAGCTGATCACTGCACCTGGTACAGCGCAGCAGCTTTTCCTCCCAGTACCCCAGCTACCTGACAGCTTTTTTGGCGACACGACACCTTTTCCGCATGGATCCTCACCAAAGCTATCTCCCACCGCCCGCAGGCACTTACCCCTCAGGCAGTGGGAACCGGCTGAGGCATGGCTGGCTGTTCTGGTTTGCCACCTTTCTGCTCTGAAATGGGGGTGGTGGGCAAGATCTCTTCTTTGGGTTCCACAATGCTGACGTGGTCTGGCAGAGGCTTTTTGGGGCCAATCTTTCCACTTGGGTCCCAGGGCAACATAATCTTTACTTTGATCCCCAGTACTCCTGCAAAGAGTGACAGGACAACACAGATGTGTTTATTCGACACAAAATATCAAGCACACATTCAGCAGTGACAAGCCCCAAGGTTACAAAATACACCACCTGCATCAAAACCATCTCCGGACAACACTGAAGATGCAACCTGATTAACACAAACGTGCTATAGCTTAAAAATCTAGTTACTGAATTTACATCAGCATGTTTACCTTCATCCAATTCACTGCCTTTGCTAACTGCAGCCTAGGACTATGATGAAAACATGCTCTATCCTTAAGTCATGCCGTGGTTTTTAAACCCTGTCTTTCCCAGGGTAACTCAGCTCACTTTCCAAGGAAATTGCACTGGTTTTTTTGCATCCCTTCTCAGACAAATGCCTCTAAATCACCCAATGAATAGGACATCCTGCCCAAGGCAGCCTTAGCACAGCACCACAGAACATGGCACTGAACAGGCTGCAATGATACAAGGACATCCCTTCTGACTCGTCATCGTATCATCACCGAAGGGAGGTGGAGAATAGCTTTGTCTATGCTAGTATCCCTACATCAGGTGTTCTGCAATTAAGTAACCCAAAGCCAATTAAGATGCAGAAGTCGCCCATGTTTTACCAGGCAGAAGGACAAGTGTAAGCAGGCTTGGCTGGTTTAGCTGGGAAGACCTGATGGAGCACAGCAACGGGGGAAAACTGTCTGACACTTGCTTTTCCGTGGGTCTTGTAGCACCCGTGTTCTGTCTGCCTACCCCTAGAAGCCGAGAAAGCCAGAATACAAACTGCCAACAGCTCTTAAACTCAGTCAATATGCATTTCATTTGTAAGTTGTTTTGCTACCAACCTCAGAAGCCACAGGACACAACTCAGAGTGTCTGGAAAATCTAAAGCCACATTCTCAACTGGAAACATTCAATCCCCGCTACTAGAAAAGTGGATGACCTGGGATGGCTACACAAAATTCTGTTGTCTGCTGAAGGCCCCTTCTCCATTTCCCATTCACATAACACAAATGCAAATAAAGGTCTACTTCAGATGTAACGTGCAAACTCCACAGTGAGAGCTTAGTTGCAAAAGCCCAAGAAAACAACAGATCTTCAGAGTCAGAGCAACTAGTGGTACCAAAACAGAACCACTCTGCAAGATCAGTGGTGCACCAAAATCATGTGAGTTACCACCCCACAGGTGACACAGGGAAGCCTCCAACCTGCGGGCACGGGATGCCAGGAGTTGAGATCTTCTGGCTCTGAAGCACTGAGAGAAGGAACCAACAGAGCTGCAAAGGGATCTGCATCCCAGCCACTCACCCTGCCGGAGAAGGACGTGACGCACGGCTGTGTCGACGTAGTAATTCACCGGGTCTCCACTGTGGATCATCAAGCCATCCACAAACTTCATGGACTTGGCACGCTGACCTCTGAGTTTGCCGGACACGACCACCTCACAACCCTTGGCACCGCTCTCCATGATGAAGCGGAGGACACCATAGCAGGCTCTGCAGGGAGGGAGCAGCAACAGCCACAGCGTTACTCCCACTCTGCCAAATCCACATGGCTCCGTGGAGGCATTTTACACCAATTTCAAGCACAGGCAATCACACTTCAACTTCTGTTTGTAAAAAGCCTTCCGAACGCACACCCGTGCAACCGAAGCTCTGTCAATGCTACGCAAGGCAGCAAAAAATCTTCACATCGTTTTAGCAGCGTCAAACCCAGCCTAAGAAAACTCTTGTGACTTACGGTCCTTGTGAGATTGTGGAAAACAATGACAAGCACACATTCTTCGTAACACAAAAGCAGCTCCACAGCTGAAGGTGGCCAATACACCCACGTTCAGGAGTGCAGCTCCCCATCCCTTCTCAGACAAATGCCTCTAAATCATT